GGACGGCCCAAGGCGCGCTCAAGACAGCCCAAGACGATTCCAAGACGGTCCCAGGAGGGTGCGCCCAGGACGGCCCAAGGACGCGCCCGGTCGGGGCCTCAAGACGGGCCAAGATGGCAAGAGAGCCCCAGCTGGCAAAAATCGTTAATTTTCCATTGTTTACTGTTACACCCTTTGCGTTTCCCGCCGTTTCGGCGGTCCGATGCACCAAGAGGCCCCAGAAAGTCCCAGGAGGGTCCGAGGAAACGCCCAGGAAGGCCCCAAGACGGGCCAAGACGGACCCAGCACAACCCAAGGCGCGCTGCGACGGCTCAAGACGGCTCCAAGACAGCCCCAAGAGGGTGCCAACACGGCCCCTGCTGGGCCCAGGACGGCCCAAGGAGGCGCACAGGAGGGGCCCAAGACGACTCCAAGGCGGCCCCCTCACGGTCCCAGACGGCTCCAAGACAGCCCCACGAGGACCCCGATGGGCCCAGGACGGCCTACGGACGGCCCATGAGGGGCCCACGACGAACCAAGACGGCCCCATCACGGCACACGGCGCCCTCAAGACGGGCCTGGACGGCTCCAAGACGGCCCTTTGAGGGAGCCAACGCGGCCCCACACCCTTCGGGCGCACACTTGGGGGGGCTGGGAGCTTGCGACAAGTCTCCCACATTCATTGTCCTGCCCCATTCTGTTCGCCTGGAGGCCTCCTCCAACCTTGTGGGCGAACAAGAGGACACCCAGCGGGCCGCCAACCCTGGGGCCCGTGGGCCCCACGCCGCTTGGGCAGAAGACGAACGCCGGGTCTGACAGGCCAGCTACCGCCCCCCTTTGCCCGATATGCTGTGCCATTCTGTTCCCCCAGGGGCCTTGGCGAACTCTTCGGGCCAAGCAGACCTGACCCCTGGGACAGCAGCCAATTGATATGACCCTGGAACCTCTCCGCATTCTTCGGACGAGCACCTGGGGGGCCCAGGAGATTCGGACAAGTCTTCCCCATTCCTTGCCCTGTCCCGTTCTGTTCGCCCGAAGGCCCTCTGGGCGAACAGACTGGGACATGGCGAACAAACCCTCCCGTTGGCGGTGATGCGACTGGATCGCACCATCAAGGCGCGCCCGGAGGTGATGGCCGACCCAACAGCGGATTCTCTAAAGATTATTCAGAATTTCAAATTACCTAACAGCGAAGACTGATAGGTTTCTAATGGGCTAAAAAGAGAGCAGCAGATGACTCCACAGGGGGGTCTGGGCGGGTGCCGGACAGGGTGCCGCAGAAGTCGTTTTAAGCCAACAGTCACACACTTCGTGCTCTTCGACCTCCCAGAACTCCATTCCCGGGCCACATTCTGAATGCCCGGAGCCAACTGTAGGCCACTTCGTGCTCTTCGACTTCCCAGAACTCCATTCCCGGGCCACATTTTGAATGCCCGGAGCCAACTGTAGGCCACTTCGTGCTCTTCGAGTTCCCAGAACTCCATTCCCGGGCCATATTTTGAATGCCCGGAGCCAACTGTAGGCCACTTCGTGCTCTTCGAGTTCCCAGAACTCCATTCCCGGGCCACATTTTGAATGCCCGGAGCCAACTGTAGGCCACTTCGTGGTCTTCGAGTTCCCAGAACTCCATTCCCGGGCCACATTTTGAATGCCCGTAGCCAACTGAGGCTGAGGCAGGCTGCTGCTGAGGCAGGCTGAGGCTGAGGCTGAGGCAGGCTGAGGCTGAGGCAGGCTGAGGCTGAGGCTGAGGTTGAGGCTGAGGCTGAGGCTGAGGCAGGCTGAGGCAGACGCTGAGGCAGGCTGATGCTGAGGCAGGCTGAGGCTGAGGCTGAGGCTGATGCAGGCTGAGGCTGAGGCTGAGGAAAAGGTTGAGGCTGAGGCTAAGGTTGAGGCTGAAGCTGAAGCAGGCTGAGGCTGAGGCTGAGGCAGGCTGAGGCTGAGGCTTAGGCAAGCTGATACTGAGGCAGACTGAGGCTGAGGCTGAGGCAGGCTGAGGCTGAGGCAGGCTGAGGCAGGCAGGCTGAGGCTGAGGCAGGCTGAGGCTGAGGGCTGAGGCTGAGGCTGAGGCAGGCTGAGGCTGAGGCTGAGGCTGAGGCTGAGCTGAGGCTGAGGCTGCTGCTGAGGCTGAGGCAGGCTGAGGCTGAGGCTGATGATGCAGGCTGAGGCTGAGGCAGGCTGAGGCTGAGGCTGAGGCTGAGGCTGTGGCTGAGGCGAGGCTGAGCTGAAGGCAGGCTGAGCTGAGGCAGGCTGAGGCTGAGGAGGCTGAGGCTGAGGCTGAGGCTGAGGCAGGCTGAGGCTGAGGCTGAGGCTGAGGCCGAGGCTGAAGGCAGACTGAGGCTGAGGCTGAAGCAGGCTGAGGCTGAGGCCGAGGCAGGCTGATGCTGAGGCTGAGGCAGGCTGATGCTGAGGAAAAGGTTGAGGCTGAGGCTGAGGCAGGCTGAGGCTGAGGCTGAGGCAGGCTGAGGCTGAGGCTGAGGCAGGCTGATGCGGAGGCAGGCTGAGGCTGAGGCTGAGGCTGGGCTGATGCAGGCTGAGGCTGAGGCAGGCTGAGGCTGAGGCAGGCTGATGGCTGAGGCAGGCTGAGGCTGAGGCTGAGGCTGATGCAGGCTGAGGCTGAGGCAGGCTGAGGCTGAGGCTGAAGGCTGTGACTGTGACTGCCGTTGCCACTGCGACTGTCATCGCGAATGCGACTGCGACTGCGAGAACAGCAGAATTCTACAACTGGATTCCATCTGGATCTTAAGGGGAATGTTTCCATATATGCTTCTACACATGCCCGTAGCCAACTGTAGGCAACTTCGTGCTCTTCGACTTCCCAGAACTCCCATTCCTGGGCCACATTTTCAGCAAGGGCAAGAGCACGACGAGGAGGAGGACGAGCAAGACCAGGAGGACGAGGACGAGCGAGGAGCAGGACGACGAGCAGGAGGAGCAGGAGAAGAAAGACGAGCAGGAGGAGGAGGAGGACGAGCAGGAGGAGGAGGACGACCGAGGAGGAGGAGGAGGAGGAGGAGGAGGAGGAGGAGGAGGAGGAGGAACCAGGAGGAGGAGGAGGAGGAGGAGGGGAGGGGGAGGACTACCAGGAGGAGGAGGAGGAGGAGGAGGAGGAAGAGGAGGAGGAGGACGAGGAGGAGGAGGAGGAGGAGGACGAGGAGGAGGAGGGGGGGGAGAGCACCAGGAGGAGGAGAACGAGGACCACCAGGAGGAGGAGGAGGAGGAGGAGGAGGAGGAGGAGGAGGAGAGAGCACCAGGAGGAGGAGGACGGAGCACCAGGAGGAGGAGGACGAGCAAGACGAGGAGGACGAGAACGAGGACGACCAGGAAGAGGAGGAGGAGGAGGAGGAGGGGGGGGGGAGGACTACCAGGAGGAGGAGGAGGAGGAGGAGGAGGAGGAGGAGGAGGAGAGGAGGAGGAGGACGAGGAGGAGGAGGAGGAGGACGAGGAGGAGGAGGGGGGGGGAGAGCACCAGGAGGAGGAGAACGAGGACCACCAGGAGGAGGAGGAGGAGGAGGAGGAGGAGGAGGAGGAGAGGAGCACCAGGAGGAGGAGGACGAGCAAGACGAGGAGGACGAGAACGAGGACGAGCAGGAGGAAGAGGAGGAGGAGGAGGAGGAGGAGGAGGAGGAGGAGGAGCAGGAGAAAGAGGAGGAGGAGGAGGAGGAGGAGCAGGAGAAAGAGGACGAGCAGGAGGAGCACGAGGACGAGCAGGAGGAGGAGGAGGAGGAGGACGAGCAGGAGGGGAGGGCGGCCGGCTGCCCCGGCCGGCTGCCCCGGCCGGCTGCCCCGACCGGCCGCGCTTGCGCCCGGCCGCGGAGCGCGGTCAAGGGAAGGGGGCGGGGGCGGGCGGTCAAGGTTGATACCCCCTCCTCGCTCGTTCCACTGCCTGCTCGCAGCAGTGGCACCAGCACATGCACAAGAGATTCCTGCATGAACTGTTGTACTTGCATATCTGATGGCCTTCGGCCAAGGTCGTGCGCACCAGGGCTCTGAGGAAGGCTCCCTGCGCCCTTCTGGGGAGCCCCTCTGGGGAGCCCCTCGGACGAATTATTCGGGCCTTCTGCTCGCCATGTCGGGCCTTCCTGGGGGACAGACACACCGGACGAATTATTCGGGTCTTCTGCTCGCCATGTCGGGCCTTCCTGGGGGACAGACACACAAACATGGGCCTCTCATATGTGCGCGCCGACTTAGGGCGACGCATGTGCCTGGTCCAGCACGCGCGGTGCCCCCGGGGAGGGGTTGCGGTTTTGCCAGATTGTGAGGACGCTTCAGAGCGGAACGCCCCTCCACATCCTTCCTGATCCCTCACTCATTTCAACCCGCGCTCCCTCAGGTGCACACTGCCGGCGCCAGCGCGAAGATAACAAGCACCTGGGGGGCGCCCCGTTCCGCGAATCCCACTGCAGAGCGGGGATCTCGACCCCCCAATGGGATTCGTGGAGCGGGGGGGGCCTTGAGAGGCCGAAGCATTTTTTGGGGCGGGGGGGGCTGCCCCGTTCCCTCGGATGGGCACAGCCCCCCCCTCGCCGGCCTCCTCTCCTTGATCCCTCCTCCTAACGTAACGCGCCCGCTTTAAGTTAGTGCATATGATACATCGACATGCTGTTCGACCCAGAGATGCTCCTACACATGGCTGTTAGGTTGCTTTGCCGGGATAATTTTCTTGAAGCTCTCTTGGGCCCTCCCTGTAGATCCTTGCGAGCCTCCCCGGCGCTTTCGGTGGCTTTCCCCGATGGCCTCCCGAGCCCTTCCCCGAGCGCTCCTGAGACGCCTCAGATGGGCTTCGACTTCGACGCACATCCCTGAGAGACTTCGAAACTGTCCTCAATAGGAGGGGGGTGAACGAGCAGTGCGCTGGGCCAAGCTGCTGGAGCGCTGCAAGAGCTCGGACACGAAGGCGCGGTCTCGCTGCCGCCGCCCGAGCCGCCGCCGTGTTTCTAGATTTTCGGTGCAATCTGCGCCGTTCCTCCGAGAACCATTCCAGCAAGATGTCGTGGACGGAGTCCACGGGTCAGCCCTAGTCAGCTACAGCGCTGGGATCAGCGCGTGCGAGAAGGGCGAGCAGTGGCAGCCGGCGCTGGCGCTGCTGAGCGAGATGCGGGAGGTGAAGCTGTTGCCCAACGTCATCTATACTACAATACCGGGATCAGTGCGTGCAACAGCCCCTCGAGTGGACTCGGCCCGGCCCCCGGCGCTCCTGGGCCGCTCCTGGGGCCCTGGTCCGTCGCCGGCGCTCCCGGAACGGCCTTGGTCCGTCGCCGGCGCTCCCCGAAGGGCCCTCGCCCGCTCGCCACGGATCCACGAGAGCCTCGAGCGAGCTCCGAAACAATCCCCCTAGGTCCCCTACAGGCCCGAGCGGCCCCAGAGGCTCTCTTGACGACCCCGAGAAAGCCTCACGAGGCAAAGAACATTAATTTTCCATTGATTTTTGACGATATTTCCGGTTCGGGCTCTTTCCAGCCGGAACGGCCCCAGAGGCGCCGCGACTCGTTTCAAGACCGCCCATGAGGCCCCCAAGAGAGCCCCAGAACGGCCCAAGAGTGTTCCAAGACTGCCCAAGGCGGCCCCAAGCCGCCCCAAGAGAGCCCCAAGAGGTCCCCGAGACCTCCCGTGAGGCCCCCAAGAGAGCCCCAGGACGGCCCAAGAGTGCCCCGAGACTGCCCAAGACGGCCCCAAGCCGGCCCAGGAGGGCCCCGAGACGGCCCCAAGCCGCCCCAAGAGAGCCCCAAGAGGTCCCCGAGACCTCCTATGAGGCCCCCAGGAAGGCCCCAGGACGGCACCAGAGTGCCCCAAGACTGCCCACGACGTTCCAAGCCAGCCCAAGACGGCCCCAAGAGGGTCCCCAGACACCCCCAGGAAATCCCAAAACGGCTAGACTGCTCAAGACGGACCCAAGCCGACCTACGGCGGCCCGAAGAGGCCCCCGACGGCTCTCAAGAGAGACCCAATGCAGCCACAGGAGCTGCCACGACGGCCCCGCAGATGTCGGCGCCAGCTCCTGGAGGTACAGAGCCCATACCAGCACGTTCGGGGAGGGCGAGCTGTGGCATCCTGCCGTGGCGCTGTTCCTCCCCGTTGCCAACGCGGCGAACACTGACTCCAGGAGCCGTCGTCGCCGTCGCCGTCCGTCGTCTTCGCGGGCGATCGTCGTCGTCCTCATCGCCGAGTCCCTCCTCCCCTTTTTCCTTCATCTCACCTCCCTCCTTCCCTTTCCCATTCTCGTTCACCTGCCGCTCTTCGCGGGCGAGCCCGACGTCATAGCGGCGGTTAGCTGCGACCCTGGATGCCCCTCGGGAAACGGCGGCCGTTCGCCCTGGCCAGGTCCACGCGGGGAGCAGCAGAGTCCATGGTCACGAAGCCTCCCGCGGGAGCTCAAGGTACTCTTGCATCCCGGTGCTGTCGGCCATGGGCCGTCTGCCGCCACCCCTCGTGCACGCTCCGTCTTCACTCAACCCAGAGCGGCTGCGGGGAGTAGCAGAGACTACGGGCACGTGACCTCCCACGGGGGCTCAGGGTTCTCTTGCATCCCGGTGCTGTCTACAAGAGCGGCGGCGTTCGCCACGACCCTGGATCCACACGGGGAGCTGCTGGGACTACGGGCACGAGACCGCCGCGACCCTGGATCCATGCGTGGAGTAGCAGAGACTACGGGCACGGGACCTCCCACTGGGACTCAGGGTACTCTTGCATCCCGGTGCTGTCGCCTGGCCGCGTGCCCGACCTGGCTAGGTCTCAGTTTTGCACTTGCACTCCGGAGCCTTTTCGGCTCCTCTTAGCACGGGGTTCGCCGCCAGCCCGGCATGGTAGGTGTGACGAAACGTCATGTCTGCTCGGTCAAGCACTGTGGCTCTCGCACGCGGAGCCTCGACCCAGCGGACCACACGCGCCCGCTGTGCAAGGAGCATGGCGGCGAAGACGCGGACGCGTCGGCGAGGCTCGTGGGCCTTCGGCAAGGGGCCCGCAACGTCCACGAAGAACAGCTTCACCAGGTCGCCGTGTTGGCTGCGTTCGTGAACGCTTCGGCGGTAAGCACAGTGGAAAAAGTCCACGGCCAGCAAACAGCGAACGCACTCTTCCAGAAGGTGGCTTCGGACCCCCAGGTCCTGAAGTTTTTACAACACGACGAGTGGACAGAGCACGCTCGTGGCGAGGCGAACTTCGCTTTGAACGCCACGGACTTGTACCTCAGGGACTTCCTCCACCACACCCAGTTCTCTGAACAACTCTTGCACCTGTTCGTCACACGGCTACACTTCAACGCGGACGGAGCCAGCAAGACCCTTTTCTCCGACTACGAGCGGATGTTTGGACAGCCTCTGGCCGAGGGCAAGACGTTCAGTCGAGCCACCTTCCTGGAGGCTGCCCTTTCCCACAACATCCCAAGCCACTACCCGCACTACAAGCTGCAGCTGTACAACAACGAACGCAACCGACAGCTCTCCAACGGCACCGTCGCCGACACGCACGACACGAAGAAGTACAGCTTCCAGTTGCGCGTGTTGGCGGGGTGGCTCGACGAGCTGCTCCGGTCTCGAGCCTTCAGCAAGACGGCGGCCGCCGTCATGGGCGGCACCTCCTTGGACAAAGCGCTCCGGACGAAGTTGTTCGTTAACACGGAGTGGCACCGGATGCTCATAGGGCGCGATGTGGCGGCCGTCAACCCCGAGGCAGCCGCCCGCGGCGGCTTCTCTTTGACCACCAACACCTTCGTCGGGGGCGGCGCCAAAGAGGTCCTCGAGCGCTGCACGGCCCCAGGCACTGACTGGTCCGCCCGGCTCGTCGCGGTCCACGAGAGCCTCGCGCCCCTGCTGTTCGGCGTAGACTTGTACTGCCCACGGCGCACCGTCAGCCAGACCGAGGACCAGCTGTGCGAGCTCCGCCGGTGCGCCCGTAGCGGGCCCTCGAAGCCACAGGGCCGTTAGCCCACATGACAACTAAATCTTTCCCTCCCGGGCCGGTTTTTCCGACGGCGGGTTCCTTTTTCTTCCCCGCGGGCCCAGTCCTCTCCCCGTCCTCGGGAGCGTGCTCTGCCCGCTTCCGTGGGGTTGTCTTTTTCCTGGTGCCGAAGGCCGGAGCCCTGGCTCCGGCCTTCGGGCGCGGTCTGAATGGCTCTGTCGCTTCGTGGGCCCACGAAGGTGGGAGACCCGGGAGCAGAAGAAGCGCGGCCGCTTGCGCAAGGGCGGGGCGCGCGTCGTCGACGCGCAGCTCACCCGGCGCGGCCGCCTTCGCAAGCACTGGCGGGCGCTTGGGTTCAAGAAGAAGCCCAGCCCGCCCGACTACCTCGCCAACGCCGGCGTGGTGAGGGCGAGGGCGTTGGACCTCCGGTGAAACGCCTCGCCTGCGCTTGGCGACCAGCGCTTCCTCCCTCCTTTCCCCTGCCTCTTCTTTGCCTCGCCCTATTGCCACTCCTCGCTTTCCCTCCTTCTCTGCACCGCGTCCTCTCCCTCTCTCTCTCTCTGTATCTCTGTCTCTCATTTTCTCTCTTTCGCCCCGCCCCGGCCTTGATTGGACGGGCGCCGCTCTCATGCTCTCAGGCACCAGCCGCGCCAAATGCTGGTGACCGCGGCCTCCTCCGTCGGCGGGGGACCACTGGCGCTGCCCTCTGTCTGTCTCTCTCTCTCTCTCTCTCTCTCTCTCTCTCTCTCTCTCTCTCTCTCTCTCTCTCTCTCTCTCTCTCTCTCTCTCTCTCTCCTCTCTCTCTCTCTCTCTCTCTCTCTCCCTCTCTCTTTGCCTCTCGCTCTCTCTCTCTTTCCCTTCTCTCTCCCTCCTCTCCTCTCCCTTTGTCGCCCCTCTGTCTCCCCCCCCCTCTCTCCCCCCTCTCCGCTCCTCCCCGCGGTCCGTCTCCTCCTCCGTGCGCAGGGTCGGGCCAGAGCCCTGGGAGACTGCGCTTCGCGCCCGCTTTTTCCGAGAGTCGAGCACGCGGCGCCGACGGCACCGAGACACGCGCGCCTTCGCCCGGGGGAACGGGCAGGGTACAAAAAAATGGCCCTGAGCATTTCATCCTGCAATGCTGCACATCCTGCAATGCTGCATGTGCTGCTTGCACATCGCTGTGCCGTTCCCGTGCGTTCCCTTAAAAAATACTCAAAAACGAACGTTTTCCCCGTGTGTCCCTTGGAATGGCGCCGAAACCAGTAGGAATGGCTATATGCCGTCGACGCCGCCGCCCATGCAGGGCCGTTTTCGCGAACCTCCCAGGACAGCGTTTTCTGAGAATTTCCGAAAACATAGTGTGTTTGAGGCCATTCCAAGGGACACACGGAGAAACCGCTCGAGTTTTCAATGGATTGTCCGACAACCACCGGGCGGGGCCTTTCACTCGCAGCTTACCATACAGGCTCCCGCCATTCCGCCCTGATCGTTGTCATCATCATCATCATCGTCATCACCATCATCATCATAAATATCACCGCCATCTTCATCATCGCCCTCGTCATCACCACCATTATCATGAACATCATTGCCGTCATCGCTAAGACGACCCTATCCGTGCCTTTCATGATCACCATGACACCCGTCGCAAGGTGCAGGACCATGCTTTCCTCGCACAAATCGTGATTCCAGAGGGAGTTCCAAATACAGGATCACATCGGAAGCGACGCATGGGGTGTCGTTTCCTCGCCACGCTTGTGCATTCGGTAGCCTCCCAATTGGCTCCAGCATCCTCTGCGCGTTCTCGCGCCCGCTCACGACCATGGCTTTCTCGCCGGCAGCGAAGAAGCGCAAGGGCGACAACGCGGCCAGCGTCGTCGGCAGCCCCGGCGCAGCGTCCGCGCAGAGTGGCGCCCAAGTGCGCGGCCCTCTCGATTTGCAGGCCCACCCTCCCGGACAATCCGAACGTTTCCTTCGGACGATGTTCGCGCCCAGGCCCCCAACCAACCTTTTCACTCGCCAGGTGTTCCTTCGTCCTGCGCCGCCTCCCGTCGCACGAATCTTTACCTCGCAGGGCCCTCCAGCTTCTTGCTGTTGCACCCCCCCTCCCCGGCCCCTCCCAGGCGCTGAGCCAGCGCGCCGCAGTCGGCATGTCCCCGAAGGCGCCAGCGAAGAAGCCCAACAGCGCGCCGATCGAGGTCTTCGTTTGGCTCTACACCAAGTGCGGGTCGGACGTGTTTCCCGGGTTCCCGCGGACGGATCTCTTCGGCTTGCGTCTGCGGCACGAGGCTTTCCCCGCGGTGGATTCGGACATCCTCGCTTCCTTCAAAATGTTCCTGGGCGAAAAGAATGCGGAGAACGACGATTACCCGGCCGACCTGAAGGAGCTCAAGGACTACGAGCGCATCATCGTCTCCCTGACCCAGACGCCCAAGGACGTCGAGGGCCGCCGCGTCCAGACCAACATGCCGCTCAAGGACACCGCCGCCCGCAAACCTCACCCTTTCGCCTCCTCACTCGCGTTGTCCTGAATATTCGGGGACAACCGATACCAGCACGAATAGGCCATCATATGTAAAGTCCCCGGCTTCCACAGGACTCCGGAATGACAAGTCCGCCCGAGGCCGTCAGCTGGTCGACGGCCATCGGTGTCTTTGTCCCCACACCTCGCCTTATAGCGACCCTCGGAGGAACGCAACCGACCCGCCTCAATAACGCAACCCAATCCCCCCCCCTCCGTCTTGCTATCCTGTCAGGAGTGGAGCGTCATGTTCTGGACCGACGAGCCCTTCCACTGCATGCGTCTCATCGCGGACTTCTCGTGGTGGAGGGCCCAGCACCGCCGCCCCGCGGACAAGAGCCCCTGGCCGGACCTGAGCACTCTCAAGATGGTGGTGAACCCATTCGTCAACGTGTCAATGGACGGCTTCAACACGGACAACATCACCATGCCCATGACGGTGAACGAACCGAGCACCACCTTGCAGTGCTCCATATTCGAGAGCTCCCCACCTGGTTCCTCTAAAATGGTTGAGGTCCGTGTCCAGGTGATCGACCAGAAGACCGTCTTCTTCGCTTGGGAGGGCCGCACCTTCCCCTACCGCGAGCGCTTCGACTTGAAGCGCATTGGCCGGGAGGACAACGTTCGCATATTGCCCCAGGCCCGCACGGACGTGAGCATTGCCGACAACGCAGCCTTCATTCGCGACGTTTTCAAGCAGGGCGTTCTCCGCGATCTGTTGGTGCACCTCGTGCTGGAGGAGAGCTCGGTTCCCGCCGACGGGCCCGTCAAGGAACTGCTGGACGAGTTTCGCGGAAACCCGCAGATTTATTTCAACGCCTTCTAAAATGTGAACCAGGTGTACCTGTACGACCACAACGAGGCCGTGAAGGCGCGCACGGACAACCCTTATCATTCCGGGATCAACGCCGACATCGTGGAGCACTTGCAGCGCATGCTCGACCGGGTCAACCCGTACGTGCACCAGTTCCGACACATGCGGGACATCGTTCGCAACCACAACCCCACCAACGTGCAATTGTGCATTTCCCAGACGGAGGGCCAGGACATGCGCCGCTACAACAAGCCCCAAACTTACGAGCCAGCCGTGGTGTTCCGCAGCTCCGACGGCGTGCTTCACGGCACCCGGGATTTAGCTGTGTGGCCTCGACTAGATGATACAGAAGTCATCAGAATATGGCCCGAAAACGAAAACCTCGACCCCATGGCGTACCCCTTGCTGTTCCCTTGCGGGGACCCGGGATGGCGCCACGGACTGCAACACGCAGGCCGCCAAACAGCTTCTCAAACGACATTGACGTGTGCCCAGTTCTACGCGTACCGCTTGATGCTCCGCGTTTACGTGCCCGACACTGACGATGCCGCGCAAGGTCGTTGGCCGACGACACAGCCGTCACTGCCGCATTCTGCAGGCTTGCTTTTCCAGACATGGCTCTGCGACGCTTGGAGCCGAGCAGAAAGCAACCGTCTGGCGTGGTACGCGCAGCACCAGGGCGACATTAGGGCGGAAACGTACCAGGGCCTCCACGACGCCGTCCACAGCGACGCTTTTCAACAAGGCCACACGAGAGTCGGCAGGAAGGTCATCCTGCCTCCGACCTTTCCGGGAGGACCCCGCGCTCTTCACCAGCATTACCTCGACGCCATGTCCATAGTGAGGGCTTTCGGGAAACCCGACTTCTTCATCACCATGACTGCGAACCCGAACTGGGCCGAGATTCAGACGGCCCTGCGCGAGGGGGAAAGTGCTGCAGGGCGCCCGGATCTCGTGGCTCGCGTCTTCCGAACCAAGATGCAGCATCTGCTGGATCTCCTGTTGCGAGAGAGGGTGCTAGGCGGTGTAGTTGCCAACTGCTTTGTCGTGGAGTTCCAAAAACGGGGGCTCCCGCACGTGCACCTCCGCATCATAATGCAAGCTTCCGACAAGCCCAGGTCGGCCCTAGACATCGATGAGCGCATCAGCGCCGAATTGCCTGATCCAGCGAACCCGGAGCAGTCAGAGTTATTGAGAATCATACTGGCTTCCCAAATCCACGGTCCGTGCGGCTGCCGCAATCCGCGCGCTCCGTGCATGCAGGAGGGGGCGTGCACCAAGCGGTGCCCGCGGGAGTTCACCGAGACCACAGACATGCACAGAGACGGGTACCCAGTGTACCGACGACGGAAGTCGTCGCCGACGGCGATGAAGAATGGAATGCAGGTCGACGCCCGAGACGTTGTGCCGTACAACCCGTACTTGTCCAGAAAATTGGGGTGCCACCTCAACGTGGAGTACTGTGGCAGCATCCGTTGCGTCAAGTACCTTTTCAAGTACGTGCACAAAGGGCACGACCGGGCCGCCCTGGAATTCGACGGCGACGAAATCAAGCACTTCCTCGACGCTCGGTACGTGGGGCCTCCAGAAGCTTGTTGGCGCTTGCTGGCGTTCCCCTTGCATGGGAAATCGCACACCGTCGAACGCCTGGCCGTGCACCTGCGCGGCGGCGAGACGATATACTTCCAGGACGGGTCCGAGGCGGCCGCTGTGGCCGCGGGCAGCGAGACCACCTTGACGGCGTGGTTCCGCTTGAACGCAGAGCCGCCCGACGGATTTACGCCTCCGGCTCGCTCGCTGCATTACGCCGAGGTGCCGCAGTTCTTCTCCTGGAGCCGCAGCAGGAAACTCTGGCAACGCAGGCGGGGCGCTGGTTCAGCTGGACGAGTACTCGGGCGTCTGGCCACTGCCACGCCGACAGAAGGTCCCAGATGGTATTTGTATCTATGCAGCTCGCTTCGCGACTGCGCCAGGCACGCGACGCACGCTTTCTTCTGCCTTCAAAGGTCCACGATCCCCGTACCCGACCCACCCCCATCCCCCTCGGCGCAATCTGGGATCCCACTCTCGCCGCCCGGGGCCCCGCGCCTCGGGCTCGCGGACTACTCTTGCACGTGACTGGGCCCACCAGTTTCTCGGACCTCGCCACCGTCGTCCATTCGGACGGCAATCGCCAAACATTCTACCAGCGGCGATGGAACGACGACACCTCCACGTGGGAGAACTCGGACGTGCCAGATTACCGGCGAGCATGCGAGGAACAAGGCTTTGCGAACTCCAGCGACGAGTGCGCCCGCTGCATGGAGGAGGCCGCTCGCCTACGGAGCGCCCCAGCGCTGCGCCGTCTCTTCGCCATGTTGCTCCTCCATTGCGAGCTCGCCTCCCCCGTGACCTTGTGGCAGCGATTCGCGAATGACCTCTGCGAGGACTTCCAGCGGCACCTCAGCGAGACCGACTCGGAGAACGCAGCGCTTCTGCACGTTCAAGAGGCACTCAGCCAGGCTGGGAAGACGCTGACGGACTTCGGATTGCCAACGCCCACGGACCACGACGTCGCGGGCCTGCAGCCCCGAGATGTTCGTAGGGAAACCGCCTACGACGCAGAAGAGGAATGGACATCTGCGCGGTCCCATCGGTCTATGATGAACGACGCGCAAGCGATCGTGTTTGACCAGGTCGCCGACGCCGTCATCGGAGCCCGTCCGCTCGCCGTGTTCATCGACGGCCCCGGCGGCACGGGCAAGACCTTTGTGTACAAGGCCATCCTCCACCACGTGCGTGGCATGGGAGAGATCGCCCTGCCGTGCGCTTGGAGCGGGATCGCTGCTGTCCTCCTGCCAGGGGGACGCACATGCCATTCCCGCTTCGGACTACCAGTGCCGCTGCCCTTGGACGACGTCGCTCCGAACATCGGGTTCCAGACGAGCCGCGCCGAAATCCTGCGACGAGCTAGAGTCATCCTCTGGGACGAGGCGCCGATGGCCCCTCGGGGAGCACTGCAATGCGTCGATGCACTGCTGCGAGACGTTACCCAGACGGACGCGCCATTCGGCGGCAAGGTGGTGATCCTCGGCGGCGACTTCCGCCAGGTGCTCCCCGTCATCCCACGGGTTGCCCGCGAAGACCTCGTTCAGCATTCGCTGCTGAACCACCCTTTGTGGCGCGCGGGCGTTGTGGAGGTCCACGCCCTGACGGAGAACATGCGGGCCAGGGGCGACGCCGATTGGCAGCGTTTCCTCTTGGACATCGGAGACGGCCGCGCACCGACCTTTCCGGACATCCACCCCGAGGCCGTGCGCCTGCCCGACAACATCGTCGCCCCCAGCCATTGGGGGCCGGAGGACCTCGCGCGCGCCATCTACGCCGACATCGCTGCGTCAGCGGCGAGGTGCGTCGGGGGCGACGTGGCCGCCGAAGACTTGCAGTACTTCTGCGATAGGGCGATTCTCACTCCGAAGAACGCGACGGCCGACTCAGTGAACGTCGCTATATTGCGCGAAGCTTTCCCGGACACGACCGTCACGTACTACAGCGTGGACGACGTGGACGCCGCGTCGCCGGCGGAGCGGGACCTCTGGCCGACGGACTTCTTGAACGGCCTCACGCCGTCTGGACTGCCGCCCCACGAGCTCGCGCTCGCGCCGGGGGCCCTGGTCATGTTGCTCAGAAATTTAGACGCCGACGCGGGCCTGGTCAACGGAGTTCGCGCCATCGTCGTCCGCGCGCAGCCCCGGGTCCTCGACGTGTGTCTGGCACACAAGCGGGCACCAGAGCATACATTCCCAAGATCGCCCTTGCGCCTCGGAACCCGGACTTGCCGTTCATCTTGCGTCGCTTCCAATTTCCCGTGCGGCTGGCATGGTGCATGACAATAAACAAAGCGCAGGGACAGACGTTGCAGCACGTCGGGTTGTACTTGCCAGACCCCGTGTTCTCCCACGGCCAGCTATACGTGGCCTTCAGCCGGGTCGGGGCGTCCAACCGCATCCTCGCACTGGTCCCCACCACTGACGAACACGGAGCGCGGGAAGCTTCGGATACATATCCCACTGGCACGTACACGAAGAACGTCGTCTGGCCAGAAGCGCTCCTGAGCCACCCCCGCCCAGCGCCATCGCCTGCCCACCCCGCCGCGCGCGCAGATACAGAGATGCCGCTCGCGGGCGCCGCTTCCAGCAGTGACGACGCACCGGCGTTCCTGGACGAGGGCTCCGAGGCGCCGCCGAGCCCCGCTGCTCGGCCGCGACGCTTCGCGCGGGACCACGGGCCAGACGACGTCGATGAGTTCGGGCCGGCGTCCCCAGACGATGCTTCTGCTAACGTCGTCCTCGCACCGCTGCGCCAGCGCGGAGCAGTCGTGGACGCCCCAGCGCCTCCTGAGACGCTGTTCCAAACATGCGCAGCCACAGAGAACGACAATCCCAGTGCAGATTCCGCCGACCCCATGCCCTCAACACAGCTACGATGCGAGGCCGCCAGCTCATCGAAGCAGAGGGATCGATTCACCGGATTCTTCGAGCGGCAGCGCGGCGCCCATTGCGGCATGCACGCGCTCAACAACGCCCTGGGCTTCGCGCTGCTCGACGAGGGAACCGTGGAGGCATCCGCCCATGCATTCATCGAGCATGCCGCTTTAGACGGCCTCCCACAGCGCCTGCGCGACCACATGAGCCCCTCTGGAGATTATTCCGAGGCGGTGCTGGCGTTTGTGCTTCAACGATGCGGAAACAGTTTCTCCTTGAACCTCAATGCTCCCGTTCTACCACAGGACGCGATGAACATTTTTGCGCCTAACGTGGTCGGGGTCGTGGTAAACCAGAACAACGCACATTGGATTGCGGTGAAGGCTGTGTCCGGCCGAATCTGGAAGTTGGACAGCGCACCAGGTGATGGACGTAGTGTTGCGGAGCCTGTACTCTGTGAGCTTAGCGACTTCCAGAAGCTCCTGCGCAGACATCCCACCGCGTACCCACTGCTCGACATCCGGCCGCGCACGTAGAGCCTGAACGACGTTGACAAATCGCATGTCCTGAAAACACTGGCCTTCGGCGCACCCCGCCAACGTGCCTTGGCGGTGGGGCACTTTCTCCCACATGCTTTTCGGGGTTTCTTCTGACTTTTGGAGCTCTCCGGAGATCATTTCCGAGTTCTCTTGGAACATTTCGAGTGCGTTCTACCAGGGCGGGCGATCTTTGGGCCCGCCACGACTTTCCCTAGAGCCCCGCGACATTCCCACATGGACCGCCGCTCGCTTTGAAAGCTTCCACATGGGCCCGTCCATGACGTCGCCGCACAAACCTCCGAAACCCAACGTTTTCCCCGTGTGTCCTTTCAAATCGGCCCAAACACATTAGGAAAATGCGCATTTCGCTGCTGGCGCCGTGCCGACCGCATCGTCCAAAGCACTTTGCAAATACGACAGGTTATGGCAATTCTCGAAAACACCATGCGTTTCAGGCGATTGCAAGGGACACACGGGACAGCGCATCGTGAATCCAACGTTTTTCTCCACCCGACAGGTTGGGGTCGTTAGATTTCTCAGAACAGACCTCCCGGCCACACCCCCACCCTGCATACCGCGGCCGCCAGACCCCGAGTGGTCCCAGTGCTCCCTGGGGCTCCCGCCCCATCCCGCCTCGCGCCCTCGACGAACACGACAGAATACAACATGACAGCGCAGAACATGACGAACACGACAGAACACAACATCACAGAACAGAACAGAGCATGACAGAACATGACAGAACAGCACATACCAGAACAGAGCATGACAGAAGACATCCGCCTTCTTCCCCACCCGACAGGTTGGGGTCGTTAGATTTCTCAGAACAGACCCCCCGGCCACACCCCCACATTGCATACCGCGGCCGCCAGACCCCAAGTTGTCCCAGTGCTCCCTGGGACCGGCCACGCTGTCGGGCCACCAGGACCGGCTGCACGACGCCGCCTTCTCGCCCGACGAGCAGCAGGTGATCACATACTCCGCGGGAGGAAGAGCAGGAAGAAGAGGATGGTGGGGATCGCTCGAAGCACATAATTTTTTCCGGGCCGCAGCTTCCCTGGGACTCTCTCCATCGATCCCTCTTGGGGCCTCTGCGTCACGTCTTCTGGCAATGTTTGCCTGTCATGAGGCCATCGTGGGCCGTCTTGCGGGCCTTGGGCGGTCTTGGACCAATATTGGAGCGGTCCTGGCCGTCTTAGAGCGATGGGACCCAAAAAGCTCGAACCCCAAATAGCTGTACCAACGTATGGACAAGCTCTTACTCTTGCCTCGTGAGGCCCACTGGGGAAGTCTCTTGGAGGCCTCTTGGGTCATCTTGGAAGCCTCTAGAGCTGTCTGGGGGCCATCTTCAGAGTCTTGAAGCGCTCTTTGACCGTCTTCGGCGCTTGGTGAGGAGCCCCGCGAAAGTCCCCGGCACGTCTGGGGACGTGCAGCCGTCCCAGAGACTATGCGAGACACGCCGAACCGCGCAGGAACGCCCGATAACGTCGGGGACATTGGTGGTTGAACCACTGGCGCCATCTCCTTTGCCGCCGCATCGTCCGACATGCCGTTCCTCTCTCCATTCCTTCGCCGTCATCCCCGATCTGACCCTTCCCGTCCCCTCTGCGCCCTCTTCGCCTCCGCCGGTGACGTCCTCACCTGCTCGGAGAGCCGCTGTTGAAGACATGGACTGACGGCCGAAAAAACACTGCACCTTTTTTGGTGGATTTTTTTCACCCGTTTTTGTTTTCCGCAGACTTCGGCCTCTCGGGGCTTTTTCCGGGCCCAGGGCCCCTGAGGCACAGACCCGGGGCGGACAATTGCGCCGGATGGACACAGGGAGGGGTCCTGGGACGCATTTAGAGATGAGTTGCATTGCTTTTCCACGGGGTGTAGCACGAACGCCCTCCATCCACGGATATGGGCAACCTCGAGGGTCCAGTTTCTCCAGCATCTTTTCACGAAGTCGCAGCTCTGCCACTATCCATACAAACACGCGCCCTTTTTTCTCCCAGGGCCCCAACCCACAGGGTTTCCGAGCTTCGTCCGGACGTGGACACAAGGAGTGACCGTACTGGCCAAAACCCTTCAGCCCTCAAGCCACGAGGACGAATTTCAGACCCGTTGTGACTGTTCCACGATCCGACCCAGAGCGTGGCCTGCGGCACGAGAACGCCGGAGTCAAGCGCCCCTAATCCCGTTATCTGCTCTCCTCCCGCCTCCACCTCCATCCCTGCCATCCCACCCCCCAAGGAGCTTTACGGACCAGATCTTCGAGGAGCTGTTCGGCTCCGATGCTATGTTCTGCTACGCCTTCGCCGGCTCACACACACGGTGTGCGCGTCTCAGGTTCAGCACACCGTGGATTTAATCCACGGGTGCACACTAGTCAGCTACAGCGCTGGGATCAGCGCGTGCGAGAAATGCGAGCAGTGGCAGTCGGCGCTGGCGCTGCTGAGCCAGATGTGGGAGGTGACGTTGGAGCCCGACGCAATCTGCACCACAATCTCGGGCTCTGCGCGTACCAGACAGAAAACTGATTACGCCCGGCCGGGCCCGCGGCGGGGGCGCCTCCGCGGCCCCGCTCGTGGAGTGACGCCGTTCTGGCCCAGGAGTGGGCCCCGCGAGTGCCCCGGAAAGTCTCCGGAGCGCCCCTCCGGAGCGCAAGAGGCCTCCCAGAGGCTCCACCAGGCTCCCAGATCGCCTCCCAGAGGGCCACGAGGACGTAGAACTATCGATATGATTTGGGTTTTTGATTCCACGTCGCCCCAGACAGCCGCAGAAGCTCCCAACTTCGGACGAGAGCGGCCCAGGGCCCTTCCCCCCCAAGAGGCACCAAGAAAGCTTTTGCTTCCCTGATATGACCTATAGGAGCCCGTCCAGACCGCTCTGGAGCCTCCCAAGACTGCGACTCCCCAAGACGGCCTCCAGGGAGACCCCCAAAGGTCTAACTCAGGAGCGCTCCCCCCCAATCATCCCCCCCCACGGCCAGCAGGCCCCCAAGACTCGGGCCGGACGAAAGGGGGGAATTGGGAAAGGGGGGGTTACAAGATTTGCTGCACGCAGCTGGAAGTGCCCATCAGAGGCTCCAAGTAGCGTCCAAGAGGCCCCTTAGAGGGCCCCAGCAAGGGCCAAGAGGCCCCCTAGAGGACCCCACCAAGGCTCTTAGAGGCCTCCAAGAGCCTCCAACAGTCCTCCGAAGCATGTCCCCAGAGGCCAAAATCCTTCCTTTGTCCATGGTTTTGGAAGGAGTTTTGCCTGCTCACCTGATCGGCTAGCCGACGCTCCAAGACGGCCGAAGAGACCCACAAGACCGCCCCAGGACGGCCCAACAGCCTCCAAGCGCGTCCCCAGACGGCCCAGGGAGCCCCAAGATGGCCCAAGAGGCGCCCGAGACGGCCCCGGAGGACCCCAAGCAAGGCCCGGGGCCAAAGCACGGTGAAAAACCTTGACACTCCGAGCCCTGAGCCCCCATACGCCCACACAAGGCCCCAAGGCACCCCCAAGAGGCCGCCAAGAGCCTCCAACAGTACCCCGACGCATGCCCCCAGACGCCCAAATCCTTCCTTTCTCCATGGTTTTGGCAGGAATTTGGCCTTTTCGTGTTCTCGGCTAGCCGACGCTCCACGACGGCCGGAGAGAACCACAAGACCGCCCCAGGACGGCCCAAAAGGCCTCCAAGCGCGTCCCCAGACGGCCCAGGGAGGCCCCCACCAAGGCTCTTAGAGGCCTCCAAGAGCCTCCAACAGTCCTCCGAAGCATGCCCCCAGAGGCCAAAATCCTTAATTGTTCCATGGTTTCTGCAGGTGTTTTGCCGTCTCGCCTTCTCGGCTAGCCGACGCTCCAAGACGGCCGAAGAGACCCACAAGACCGCCCTAGGACGGCCCAACAGGCCTCCAAGCGCGTCCCCAGACGGCCCAGGGAGGCCCCCACCAAGGCTCTTAGAGGCCTCCAAGAGCCTCCAACAGTCCTCCGAAGCATGCCCCCAGAGGCCAAAATCCTTAATTGTTCCATGGTTTCTGCAGGTGTTTTGCCGTCTCGCCTTCTCGGCTAGCCGACGCTCCAAGACGGCCGAAGAGACCCACAAGACCGCCCCAGGACGGCCCAACAGGCCTCCAAGCGCGTCCCCAGACGGCCCAGGGAGCCCCAAGATGGCCCAAGAGGCGCCCAAGACGGCCCCAGAGGACCCCAAGCCAGGCCCAAGAGGGGGCCAAAGAACGGGGAAAAACCTTGACACTCCGAGCCCTGGGCCCCCATACGCCCACACACGGCCCCAAGACCCCCCCGAAGGGAACGCCAAGAGGTCCCCAGAGGCCCCCAAGAAGCCCAAAGCAAGCCCCAAGACGGTCCCCAAGAGGCCCCAAAGCTGCCTCCAAGAGGGACCCCAGACGCCTCTGAACCATTCCCCAGGCACAGGCACGGGGGCGGATTTCGCCGAAGGTCATGATGCGTGCCAGAAGGTCCTCTGTCTTGAAATGCCCGCCAGGCTCTCCAGGCCGCCCTGCGAGCCCCCAGGCCGCAGGGCGGCCTCCATACGCCCCGAGCCCTGGGCCCCCATACGCCCACACAAGGCCCCAAGACCCCCCCAAGAGGCCTCCAAGAGCATCCAACAGTCCTCCGAAGCATGCCCCCAGAGGCCAAAATCCTTAATGTTTCAATTGTTTTTGAAGGAGTTTTGCCTTCTCGCCTTCTCGGCTAGCCGACGCTCCAAGACGGCCAAATACACCCACAAGACCGCCCTTGCCTTCTCGCCTTCTCGGCTAGCCGACGCTCCAAGACGGCCGAAGAGACCCACAAGACCGCCCCAGGACGGCCCAACGGGCCTCCAAGCGCGTCCCCAGACGGCCCAGGGAGCCCCAAGATGGCCCAAGATGCGCCCAAACCGGCCCTGGAGGACCCCAAGCCAGGACCCCCAGGAGGGACCCAGGAGGTATAAATTGCCACGTTCGCTTTGGAAAACGTGCATTTTCGATATGCTCGCTCTTTTCGCCTTCACCGCGTCCAAGACGGCTATACAGGCCTTCCCGATCGCCCCAAGACGCCCCCAGAGCACGCCAGGAGGGCCCCCAAACGGCTATACAGGCCCTCCACCTCGCCCCAAGACGCGCCCAGAGGCCCCCAAAGGGCCCCACACGGCCCCGACGGCCCAGGACGCACCCGAGAGGCTCCAGGGGGCGCCAGGACGGCCTCAGAGCACCCTTGGGAGCCCCACGACAGCCCCAGAGGCCCCCAAGGCAGGCCAGGAGGCTCCCAAGACGGCCCAGCAGGGCCTCCAGGAGAGACCCAAGAGGCCCAAACCATCCCATTCCCGACGAGGGACGCACATTTTCAATATATTTATCTGGCTTTTTCGTCCTCGCAGCGTCCAGAAGGCTATACAGGCCCCCAGCTCGCCCCAAGACACGCCCAGACGCCCCCATGAGGGCGCCCAAAGGGCCACACACTGCCCCGTAACGGCTCCAGAGGCTCCCGAGACGGCCCAAGACGCACCCAAGACAGCCCCAAGAGCAGTTAGTAATGGCCCAAGACGGCTCCACCGCCCCGTCTCCAAGACGGCTGTAGAGGCCCCCGCCGCCCCGTCTCCAAGTATTTCCGTTTGGACAGTCTCCAAGACGGTCTCTTAGCCGTCCGGGACGGCTCCAGAGGCGCCCGAGACGGTTAAAGAAACACCACAGACAGCCCCAGTGGCGCCCAAGATTGGCCCAAGATGGCCCCAATATTGTCCCAAGATGGTCCGAGAGGCGCCCAAGACGGCCCCACATCGCCCCAAGACGGCCCAAGATGCACTCAAGACTGCCAAAGAGGGCTCCGAGAGACCCACCCCCAGGAGGACGAAAAGAGGCCCCCAAGCGGCCCCCGAGAGGCCTTGGATGCTTCTCTCTTGGGGAGCGTCGAACTTTCAGCATCGTCTTCGGGCTTCTTGGACCCTCTGGGAGCCATCTCTGCGTTATTTGGGGACGTCTTGGGGAGGTGCGCTCGAAAAGTCGATTCGTGTCCTCGCACTGGGGCGTTTCTTAGGGAGTTCCGTCTCGCCGCCCTCTTGCGGGCCTCTTAGGCCGCGCCCATTGGCCCCACTGTCACCACACTGCCAGATGAAATAATCATTCGGCCCCGGCGAAGAGCAGATAAACTTCTCACGGCCACCTTCCCCGCAGAAGCTATGATGAACACAAACTGCGGCGTCAGAAACAGATTCTGTCCACACCATGTCATGCCTACATGGGTGTGCTTCCACTGACACCGCCTCCACCACCGCGTTCCTGCCTTCAGGCCTGCTTGCCTGCATCCCTCGCCCACCTTCCCCTCCAGCGGCCACCTCTTCCATCCACGCCGTCCCCTCCAACTTCCCCTGACCCGCGAGGCCCCAGAGACGCTCCACTTCTACGTCCACGCCATGGCGGGCAAATTCCGCGGCCGGAGGCCGCGGGTCAGCCCTACATCATCTGTACTACAATTCCGGGCGAAGCCCTTGCGTCAAGGTCGAGCAGTGGCAGCGCCCCGGGCCCCCCAGAGAGCTCGCGGGCCGCCCGGAGAGCCTCCGGGCCGCTGCCCGACGGGTCCGGGAGGCACCCGGACCGCTCGCGGACTGATCCAGGATTCCCAGATCGCCCCAAGACGGCCTCAGGAGGTCCCGAAGACGGCCCAAGACGGACCAAGAGTGTATCCGAGACGCTTATTAAGATGGCTGCAAGACGCCTTCAAGACGGCCCGAGACGCCTCCACGAGGCCCCCAGAGCGCTCGAAGTGCACCTCCAAGAGGGGCCGCAGAAGCCAAAATCGTTGATTTTCTGTGTTTTTCCCAACCATCCTGTGGTGTTGGGTCCTCGTTTTGAAGAGACGTCGCCCCGCGTTCCTCCTTCCTCCTCCTTCCTCCTCCTCCCCTTCCTCCCCCCCTCCTCCCCCTCCCACACCCATTCTGGCACACCCCTCACACGTTTCGTGGCCCCATAGGGAGCTCCACCGAAGGCCCCAGTGGCTGCGCCCGCACGCGGTTCCACCCCCATTCTGGCACACCCCTCACACGTTTCGTGGCCCCATAGGGAGCTCCACCGAAGGCCCCAGTGGCTGCGCCCGCATGCGGTTCCACCCCCCATTCTGGCACACCCCTCACACGTTTCGTGGCCCCATAGGGAGCTCCACCGAAGGCCCCAGTGGCTGCGCCCGCATGCGGTTCCACCCCCCATTCTGGCACACCCCTCAACGTTTCGTGGCCCCATAGGGAGCTCCACCGAAGGCCCCAGTGGCTGCGCCCGCATGCGGTTCCACCCCCATTCTGGCACACCCCTCACACGTTTCGTGGCCCCATAGGGAGCTCCACCGAAGGCCCAGTGGCTGCGCCCGCATGCGGTTCCACCCCCCATTCTGGCACACCCCTCACACGTTTCGTGGCCCCATAGGGAGCTCCACCGAAGGCCCCAGTGGCTGCGCCCGCATGCGGTTCCACCCCCCATTCTGGCACACCCCTCACACGTTTCGTGGCCCCATAGGGAGCTCC